ATCTTTCCGCAAACAATCTTGTAAAATCTGTATTGATCTTCTTTATCAATATATATTTTAAATTTGAAAATTGTGTTTGTATTCATCCCCCCCTTCTACAAACTGTTTAGTATTCTTGTAGACCCTTTTGGGACCAACATCTCCTCTCAGGGCGACTCCTATCTCTGGTAGATCTCTTTTCACAATGACTCAAGTCCCCAACCGTCGAAACCCTTTCTCGGTGGCTACTCTCTATCTCCGGCAGATCTCTTCTCACGGCGACTCCCCCATCCTCTCCTGCAGTTCTCTTCTCCTGACCACTTTCTTTGAACGGTCTTCTTCCATGTTCTTGTTCAAAGATCGGAGCAACTTGGCGCTCACTATCTCCATCTTATTGGCTCCGAGTTCTATAACTTTAATGTTCTTCAAAAAATTTAAAACCTTTATATCCATCTTTTGGGTTTTGATTTATTTTTTGGTTTGGGTTTTGATTTGAATTTTGTATTCAAGGTTTTCACTATCAGTTACAATCACACTTACATTCATGGTTATATATGATATGAAAAAAAAAATCTATTGTGAAGTTGAATCTACTAGAATATTCACTCATTGTGATTTGTGATTCCTTTTACAGCTAGTCAGAGAGTATAAAGGTTGATCACAGTGGGTATCACATTAGTATCACAATGAATTTGTGTATTAAAGTTCTTGGGTATCACAATGTATATCACAGCGGGTGCAGTGGTATTGAGGATAGGGTTGAAGAGTTCAATTATGTCGAATACACCATATTTGTGGCAGTGGGGAAGACTGTTAAGGAGAACAAGTTGTTGATATTGTGTGCTTTATAGTGCTTTGCTATAATGAAGATTTGTCTCCATATTCATCAACCTGCTCACTTAGTCACACTATGTAAGTTAGTCACTTCACATACTGCTGTTGTTGCTTCATGATTTGAGTTTGACGGTTAATTTTGATGTATGCATATAACATAGTCTGTTTATTGGTTTAAGTTTGGGAATTAGCCTACCTACGCTATGATGGGTGTGTACCATCTTAAATGGTTTTCCATTTTTTGTAATTACAATTTAGGTCGAGATATTTGTGAAAACCTTTTTTTGGATGTCATTGTGCAGCATGGCATTCAATGTCATTGGATGTCATTCGAGATATTTGTGAAAACCTTTTCTGGATGTCATTGGATGTCATTGTGCATCCAGTAAGGTTGAAACAGGTATTGTGCAAACCATTGTACAACATGGCATTCAATGGCTTGACTGTATGGCCTACTCCTGCACTTGCTCACTAACAAAACCATTTTAGGGATTTGTTGGTGATACCCGCAAATCATATTTTGAATTTAAACTTTTGATCCAAATTTATACTTTTTTAGTTTGATATATACAAATTTTTATATGAAACTTCTTTGATTGGATCCAGAATGAATGCCAAATCTGATTAGTTGAATTGAAATCAATGGTATCACAGTGATATCACAATGCATCTTATATGTGCTTGGGTATCACACTGAGGTCGTTTGTGTGATCGATCGGAGATATAACACAGTGGTATCACAATGCATCTTATATGTGCTTGGGTATAACATTGTGTCTTTTGTTTAACAAAGTCAATATTTTTAGGTATCACAGTGGTATCACCGAAGGACGGGGAAGGAGAGAGGAGAGTTATAAAATACCTAAAATGTCCTTGCATTAAAATTTTAATTCAAAATTACCAAAATTATAAATTTCCTAATTTATCTATTGATTTGTGGTTTAGATTGGATCTCACGGTTATCACAAACTAGTCTGTTCTCCCTTGACTAGGCCCCTATATATA